TTTGCACACACACTGCTGCCATCTAGTCGCCAAAATCTAAATTGCGCCAAATCTGCAAAATTTAATTTTGGCCTTTCTCTTGCATTTCAAAGATGATGAAAAATATATATTTGGAAAACGCATGTTTTTGTATTATCTTTTACCTGATCTAATGTGTTATATTCTCCTACATTAATTTCATAATAACACAAACTTCAATGTTTTTCCTTTCAAATGGTCTCAAGAATATGCATATCCTTACTACAGGCAGTTAGATTTGGGTGTCATTTTAGGCGAAAATTGAAAAAAAGGGTCAGATCCTTAAGAGGTTAACTTGAGTATGGACCCCTTCTGACTCCAACTTGACTAGCTGTTTTTCAACAGCTTTTCTAAGTGCATATGGCACTGGGCGAGGCTTGCAGAACTGACAGTGGCTTGCGAAAATATTCACCCCCCTTGGCATTTTTCCTATTTTGTTGCCTTACAACCTGGAATTAAAATTGATTTTTTGGGGGTTTGTATCATTTGATTTACACAACATGCCTACCACTTTGAAGATGCAAAATATTTTTTCTTGTGAAACAAACAAGAAATAAGACAAAAAAAACAGAAACTTGAGCGTGCATAACAATTCACCCCCCCCCCAGTCTCTTGGGGTATGTCTCTATAAGCTTGGCACATCTAGGTCACTGGGATTATTGCCCATTCTTCAAGGCAAAACTGCTCCAGCTCCTTCAAGTTGGATGGGTTCCACTGGGGTACAATTGGATTGAGGTCTGGGCTTTGACTAGGCCATTCCAAGACATTTAAATGTTTCCCCATAAACCACTCAAGTGTTGCTTTAGCAGTATGCTTAGGGTCATTGTCCTGCTGGAAGGTCAACCTCCGTCCCAGTCTCAAATCTCTGGAAGACTGAAACAGGTTTCCCTCAAGAATTTCCCTGTATTTAGCGCCATCCATCATTCCTTCAATTCTGACCAGTTTCCCAGTCCCTGCCGATGAAAACCATTCCCACAGCATGATGCTGCCACCACCATGCTTCACTGTGGGGATGGTGTTCTCGGGGTGATGAGAGGTGTTGAGTTTGCGCCATACATAGCATTTTCCTTGAAGGACAGAAAGCTCAATTTTAGTCTCATCTGACCAGAGTACCTTCTTCCATATGTTTGGGGAGTCTCCCACATGGCTTTTGGCGAACACCAAACGTGTTTATTTGTTTATCACTTTTCTTGGTTACTACATTATTCCATATGTGTTTTTTTCATAGTTTTGATGTCTTCACTATTATTCTGCAATGTAAAAAATAGTAAAAATAAAGAAAAACCCTGGAATGAGTAGGTATGTCCAAACTTTTGACTTGTACTGTATATAAATGATATAGGTTGTAATGGCTGTAATGGAATAAATGGAACGGTATCAAACATATGTAAACAACGTTTGACTCCGTTCCTTTAATTCCATTCCAGCCATTACATTGAGCCTGTCCTCCTATAGCTCCTGCCACCAGCCTCCATATATATATATATATATATATATATATATATATATATATATATAAACACAAGTTACTGCTATAGAGATTAAGAAGATGTCGGTGAGTTTTCAGTGCTGTGCAGTGTACTAATCTCTTTGCCCCAGTGCACTCCTCCCCTGGTGGTGGTGGCCAACATCGATGTGAAGACGGAGGTGTGTGCTGCCAGCATACCTACTGTTAGATTAATTTGTATTTTAAGAATAATGACTAAAGGATTTCACCCCAAATACAGCATAAATGTTAGAATTATCATGTAGTGTCAACCCACTAACAGAGGGGGCGGTACTAAACATTCAAGGGTGAAGGGGAAGGCGGAAACTGTTTAGAAAAGCCACCTAAAGGTGGGTGGAGTCAAGTTCAGGAGGTATAAAATGGAGTGTATGTGTTTTTGGCGTCAGAGCTCTAAAATCCTTCTTCGTGGTTATGGACCTTGAATCATTTATGATTAAAACCAGAGCCTTACAACCTCTGGTAATGATTCAAGCTTAGGATGGATTAGAGATAGAAATTCACATGACACCTACCACCATGGGCGTGGTGGCAGGAATCCTGGTCCAAAATGTCCTAAAGTAAGATTTGAATTACATTTGTTTGGATCTGAGCCCTGGGTTCCGCACCAAGCGGAAGAAACCTGACTAAAACAGGGAGACTACCTGAACTTCTCCAATAAGAAATATTTTTTTGGGGTTTTCTGTGAAATGTTTTGCTACAGTTTGCCCTAATGAATACGACCCATAGCAGGGTTTCCTATGAATATATCCTAACAGTGGTTTGTGGTCCTCTAACAGGTACCTGTTGAAGTTTGGCACTGTCAGCCACTACCTGGGTTACAACACTGTGCAGGATTTCTTCCCCACTATGGCCATGAAGGTCAACACAACATGTAATGACCTCCACTGCAGGGAAAAGCAGGACGACTATAAGGTAACCAAGGCTCTTTCCTCTTTGTCTCTGCCAGTCTCTGTGTTTCCTCTCGCTGTTATTTTTTGTACTTTTACCCCCCAATTGGTAGTTACAGTCTTGTCCCATCACTACAACTCCCCTACGGACTCGGGAGAGGTGAAGGTTGAGAGCCATGCGTCCTCGAAACCACGACCCTGTCAAGCCGCACTGCTTCTTGACACACTGCTTAACCCAGCCGCACCAATGTGTCAGAGGAAACACCTTCCAGCTGGCAACCAAAGTCAGCTTGCAGGCGCCCGGCCCACCACAAGGAGTCGCTAGAGCATGATGGGACAAGGAAATCCCAGCCGGCCAAACTCTCCCCCAACCCAGACGACGCTGGGCCAATTGTGCGCCGCCTCATGGGTCTCCCAGTCACAGCCGGCTGTGACACAGCCTGGGATCGAACCCGGGTCTGTAGTAATGCCTCAAGCACTACGATGCAGTGCCTTAGACTGCTGCGCCACTCTGGAGGCTCTCTCTTCCTCTTTGTCTCTTTATCTCTCTCTCTTTATCTCTCTCTACCTCGCCCATCATGACCTGGGTTGTGTGAGGGGATGTATATATAAGTATAGTTGTAATTCACAGTGTTGTGTGCTTTGTGGCCCACAGAAAAAAAGAGGCGTAGCAGCAGAAACATTTTGTAGAGGAGGTAGTGGATTAGCTAGAGCTTTGATATTGTCTCAGTGTACTGTCCATAGTAAGATTACTGACCTATGTTTTTGCTCTGTCAGGTATTGTGCTGGCGTCAGAGGTGACTGATTAGGATCTCCAGACAGCCTCAGGCCCCGTCCCCGTCCTCCCAGAATGCATCACTGTGGCCTACACCATCCCTGAGAAGGTCAGTACCAAACAAACCTTTTAAGAATACTGCAGTATTTGTATGGTGAGCACAGACAAGCCAAGTAACCATGTATCAGTGGAGGCGGGTGACGGCTCATAGTAATGGCTTGAATGGATTGAATGAAAGGGTATCAAACATATGGAAATCATGTGCTTGATACCGTTCCAATGCTACAGTGTCTTCAGAAAGTATTCATACCCCTTAACGTATTCCACATTTTGTTGTGTGACAGCCTGAATTTGAAATGAATTAAATAGAGATGTTTTGTCACTACACACAATACCCCATAATGTCAAAGTGGAATTATGTTTTTAGAGATTTTTAGAAATTAATAAAAAATGAAAATCTGAAAAGTATTCAATCCATTTGTTATGGCAAGCCTAAATAAGTTCAGAAGTACAAATTTGCTTAACAAATCACATAAGTTGCATAAGTTGCATGGACTCACTCTGTGTGCAATATATATATTTTTTTATGACTACCTCATCTCTGTAACCCAAACATACAATTATCTGTAAGGTCCCTCAGTCGAGCAGTGAATTTCAAACACATATTCAACCACAAAGACCAGGGAGGTTTTCCAATGATTCGCAAAGAAGGACACCTATTGGTAGATGGGCAAAAAATAAAAAAGCAGACATTGAATATCCCTTTGAGCATGGTGAAGTTTATGAATTACACTTTGGATGGTGTATCAATGCACCCAGTCACTACATAAATACAGGTGTCCTTCCTAGCTCAGTTGCCAGAAAGGAGGGAAACCGCATGAGGCCAATGGTGACTTTAAAGCAGTTATGGAGTTTAATGGCTCTGATAGGAGAAAACTGAGGATGGATCAACAACATTGTAGTTACTCCACAATACTAACCTAATTGATAGAGTGAAAAGAAGGAAGCCTCTACAGAATAAAAATATACCAAAACATGCATCTTGTTTGCAACAAGGCACTAAAGTAATACTGCCAAAAATGTGGCAAAGCAATTAACTTTTTGTCCTGAATACAAAGTGTTATGTTTGGGGCAAATCCAATACAACACATTACTGAGTACCACTCTTCATATTTTCAAGCATAGTGATGGCTGCATCGTGTTTTGGGTATGCTTGTAATAGTTAAGGACTGGGACGATTTTCAGGATAAACAATTAACGGAATAGTGATAAGCACAGGCAAAATCCTAGAGGAAAACCTGGTTAAGTCTGCTTTCCACCAGACCCTGGGAGATGAATTCACCTTTCAGCAGGAAAAAACCTAAAACACAAGGCCAAATCTAAACTGGAGTTGCTTACCAAGAAGACAGTGAATGTTCCTGAGTGGCCAAGTTACAGTTTTGACTTACATCTACTTGAAAATATATGGCAAGACCTGAAAATGGTAGAAGAATTTTGAAAAAAATGAACAACTGTTGTACAATCCAGGTGTGCAAAGCTCTTCGAGACTTACTCAGAAAGACTCATAGCTGTAATCGCTGACGAAGGTGCTTCTACAAAGTATTGACTTAGGGGTGTGATTGCTTATGTAAATGAGATATTTCTGTATTTCATTTTCAATACATTTGCAAACATTTCTAAAAACGTTTTCACTTTGTCATTATGGGGTATTGTGTATAGATGTTCTTCTCAGGAATAAAGAATGCGAACCCTGGGTGACCCTCAATTGTAATTCCTTGATTCCTCATGTTATTATTATTTCAATTTCAATTTATCAGAGGGGTGCACCCTCAGCACCTCTACATCCCGCAGCTATGCCCACTGGATGAGTGTCGAGACTGGGATTTCCCACACACACCAGAGACGGCTCTGCCTCTTTGATCTCCATGGCTCGCTTGTAGAGCTCTGCTTCTTTCACAAAGTTCCCCTCCTCATAGCTGTGGGAAAGAGAGGGAGGAGGGAGGAGAGGAAGATGGACAGAGAAGAGAGAAAACAAGGTTCATAAAGAGATATGGGGTTGATGACAATGATGATAAAACTAGTCGTTCAGCTCATAGTACTGTACAGTATGTATTAACAATAAGATGGTATGTGTGTTTGCATCCATGTATGTGTGTGTGCATTCACCTGATTACAGCTAGGTTCTTCAGCGTATCTCTGACCTGTGGGTGTGAGCGTTTCAGACTGTCCTCATACACTCTCAGAGCCTGTTCATACAGGGGTAGCGCCTCACTGTGCTTCTGTCAGACAAACAATAACACACAGTCAGACCAATGTCCAGACAGAATCTTAGAGAAACAGTCTGGATTTCCATTTGAAATATAACTAGGCTGGGAAATCAATTCAAATCAAACCATACACATCTGTATGCTTTCTAGCAGTTCCTGTGACGAGGTGTGAATGAAGGAGTCAGGCGCAGGAGGTAAAATACCGAAGTCCAGAGTTTATTCCGTTTACTTAAATCAAACGCTCAAAGTGTCAAACGAAACTATTACAAGGGAAAACATCCACCTTGGCATAAACACAGTGAATAGTAGCTCAACCGAGCTACACGCTCTCACAACAAACAATCACTCACAAAGACAAGGGGAACAGACGGAACACTTATACACATACTAATTAGGAGAATGAGCACCAGGTGTGTGTGATTGACAAGACATGACAAGTGGAGTGATGAGAATGGGATCGGCAGTAGCTAGTACTCTGGTGACGACGAACGTCGAAGCCTGCCCGAACCAGGAGGGGGGGGCAGCCTCGGCGGAAGTTATGACAGTTCCCATCTTTCCCTAGTATGCATGCAGCAGACCTGGGTTTCAAATATGTGAAAAATCATTTCAAACACTTTATCTGCCAACATGAAAAAATACTATAGTATACTATCGTATAAATACTATAGTATTCACTGTAGCGTTTTTTTGCAGACTTTACTGTAGCATACTGTAGTTTATACAGTTAACTATAGTATAAATACTGTAGTAAATTAAAACTGTAGTATATACTATAGTACTTAATGTCGTGTTTTTGCAGATGGTAGTATACTGTAGCATTTACTACAGTGTTTTTGCGGCCATTACTGTATTATTTACTGTAGTGTTATTGTTTTATTATCTTTGACATAGAAGGGGAGGCTTTCTCCTTAAGGAGAAAAATGTTCTATAACCTGTAGGTAGGTAGGACTTGGGTCTGAATGGATAGTTCAGAGCTTCTGCTATTTTCTATAACCTGTAGGGAACACAATATATGGTCTATACTTGGCATGCAGGTTTCTAAAAAGGAGCGTTTCCGTTTCTAAAAGGATGGATTTGCGTGTTTTGGTAGCCTTTTTTTTATTATTATTTTTATTTTCTTATTTTTTTTATATTTTTTTATTTAATTTTAATTTTTTTCTTTTTTTGGGGGAGGGGGAATGGATCAGCTTAATATTGCAGATAGATTGTATCTTCTATCAATGTAATTGTCTGCATCACTTCCAATCCCCCATGTTTTTATTTATTTTTATATATATATTCCCCTTTATTACTTTTCAACCCCACCATCCTTTCCCTACTTGGAGTAAATTAGTGAACAACAATGCCTAGGCCTCTACTTCCGGTCTATACTTACTATCTACACCTTATGGACAGAGTTAATTTTACAATAATTCTATTATATATATATATATATATATTTTTTTATTTATTTATTTATTTATTATTTATTATTTTTTTGCTCCTGAACTTCTTCTACTCTCAACCTCTCCGATCATTTTCATGATGTCCATCCGGTTTGCTTCTAAATGCCATATCTTTCTAACTGTGCTCTTTCCCAAAAGCTCCCAACATACAACCTATATACTTATTATGGACACAGTATGCTTACATTATTAGCTATCTTTGTTATTATTTGTTGTTATTTGTTATTAGTCCCATCCTTCAACTCTATTCAATACCTCCCATCTATCTCTTAACACCATCCATATAGGATTTCTATTTGCCATATATATTTCAACCGTACTGTGATGTTTTACAAAAGTTCTGAACCTTTCTATTCTCATTGCTTCTACAGATTGTGAATTAAAAATAAACATTTTTGCTAAAAGTATTATTATATTATTGATTGATTGACTATGACTTTTCAGATCACCCAGTAATGCTATCTGCAAGGTTAGTTCCAGGTAAATATTGCAATCCTTTAGCCATTCCTGGACCTGTGTCCAAAAACAAGCTACAAATGGACAGAACCAAAACAAATGATCTAATGATTCTGTCTCTTCACAGCAAAATCTGCAGAGCTGGGAAGATTGTATCCCCCATATAAATAACATTCTATTGGTAGCAAGAATTTTATATAATAATTTAAATTGAAAGATTCTAATTTTTGAATCCGGTGTCGTTTTGCGTGTCAGTTCATAAACACTATGCCATGGGATCGGTACGTCAAAGATCTCTTCCCAACTATTTTGCAATCTATATGGGACGGCTGTCAATCCTTTGGTCCTTAAGTCAAACTGATATACTTTTTTATTTATCACAGTTTTCCTTAACCAATTATGTTCTTTAATGCAAGGCCGACAGACAAGTTCCTTACTTTCTCCCCCTTCAACTTTCCTCTTCCACTTTTGCGGTAAGGCTGCAATTATTTGGTTGTAATTTTGGGTAGAGCAGACATTTCCATATGTTTTTGTTAGCTGCATGTGCGACATAACTCCACCAGTCCTACCGATGATATCATTTACGAAGATTATACCTTTTTTAAACATTCTGTCAAAAAATAAAGGTTTTTTGTCAATTAGTATATTTGAATGTAACCACAATATTTGTTGCATTATTTGTTCTGTCGTTTCTGGAGGATTAAATTGAAATTGCAACCAACTTTCTATGGCTTGTTTTAGAAATAGTGACATTTGGGAGATTATTTCCTTTTCAAATAACTGAAAGTGAGAGGTTGTAATCTGAATAAAGGGAAAAAGGCCTTTCTTGAACATTGGGTGAGACAATCTTACTAATTTGCTTGAGAACCAGTTCGGATTTAAATATAACTTTTGGATGACTGAAGATTTTAGTGATAGGTCTAATGCTTTAATATTTAATAATTTATGTCCTCCGAATTCATATTCATTATATAAATATGCTCTTTTAATTTTGTCTGGCTTGCCGTTCCAAATAAAATTGAATATTTTTTTCTCATATAATTTAAAAAACTGTTTGCTAGGCGTAGGCAAGACCATAAGCAAATAGGTAAACTGGGATAATACTAAAGAGTTAATCAGGGTGATTTTTCCACAAATTGACAGGTATTTTCCTTTCCATGGTAGTAAGATCTTATCTATTTTTGCTAACTTTCTATTAAAATTTATTGAAGTGAGATCATTTATTTCCTTTGGGATATGTATTCTGAGTATATCCACATCACCATCAGACCATTTTATTGGTAAACTACATGGTAATGTAAAAATTGTATTTTTTATTGATCCAATACGTAATATAGTACATTTGTCATAATTTGGTTTTAATCCAGAGAGGTTAGAAAATGTATCTAGATCCTCTATGAGGCTGTGGAGGGATTCTAGTTGTGGATCTAAAAGAAAACATGAATCATCTGCGTACAATGACACCTTTGTTTTTAAGCCCTGTATTTCTAATCCTCTGATATTATTATTGGATCTGATTTTAATAGCTAACATCTCGATGGCCACAATAAATAGATATGCCGATAGTGGACAACCTTGTTTCACTCCTCTTGACAGTTTAAAACTTTCTGAGAAATAGCCATTATTTACTATTTTACACCTAGGGTTACTATACATGATTTTGACCCATTTTATAAGAGATTCTCCAAAATTGAAATGCTCCAGGCATTTATATATAAACCCCAGTCGAACTTTATCAAATGCCTTTTCGAAGTCTGCTATGAATAGCAGGCCTGGTTTCCCATATTTTCCATAGTGTTCTATTGTTTCCAATACTTGCCTTATATTATCTCGAATGTATCTTCCATGTAAAAAACCTGTCTGATTAGAATGAATAATATTCGACAATACCTTTTTAATTCTATGCGCTATACATTTTGCTAGGATTTTTGCATCACAACACTGAAGTGTAAGGGGCCTCCAATTTTGTAAATGGACTGGATCTTTATATTTTCCACTTGTATCCTGTTTCAGTAATAATGAGATCAGACCTTCTTCTTGAGTGTCAGATAATCTACCATTTACATAGGAGTGGTTAAAACATGCTAATAACGGTCCTCTTAGTATATCAAAAAAGGTTTGGTATACCTCGATTGGTATGCCATCCAACCCTGGAGTTTTCCCGGACTTAAAGTCTTTAATTGCATCCAGAAGTTCCTCCTCTGTAATTTCACCTTCACATGAGTCTTTCTGTGTGGCTGTTAATTTGACATTATCAATAGAAAAAAATCTCTACAATTAGCTTCAGTTAGAGGAGATGGAGGCGACTGAAAAGAAAACATATGCTTAAAGTACTTTGTTTCTTCCTTCAAAATATCATTTGGTGAATTATGGGTGACTCCGTCAATTGTAACGAGTTTCATTAAGTTCTTTTTGGTAGCATTCCTATGTTGAAGATTAAAAAAGAATTTTGTGCATTTTTCCCCATATTCCATCCAGTTTGCTTTATTTTTATAATATATTACACTTGATCTTTCTTGAATAAGTTTTTCCATTTCTTTTTGTTTTTCCTCTAATTTATTCGGAGCCTCTATGTTACAGTTTTTATTGCCATCTATCTGTTTTGGGAGCCTTTGTTTATGTTTTTCCGGCACCTCCATACTGCACAACGAGGATGAGGAAGTGTATCGCTGGTTGGGGTAAGTTTCTAAAAAAACTGTCTGTACACTTCTATAACATGCCATTTACATGGTTGTAAAAAAGAGAACTTGTCATTTAAAATGTTGGCCTAATAAGATTATATACAACAGCCCTGTGATGGTTTGGTTAGAAACGTCGCAGCTCAACCTACCCAGCTTTTATAGAGCATAGCCAGGTGTTTCAGGGTGTAGGCCAGAGAAGGGTGGTCAGAGGACAGGGCTCTCATCCTGACGTCCAGGGCTCTCTCATACATCTCTTCAGTCTCGTACTCCCTCCTCTCAATGTGGATCGCAGCTTGGTTGTTGAGGGACTGGGCACAGTCCGGGTGGTCCTGCCACAACACACGCTGACACATCTCCAGAGAACTGGTCAGGAACACCTTGGCTGCCCTGGAAAAGACAGTAGGGAGGGACACCATTAACACCAGAACCTGATCCAAAACATGAGTGAGTGGAAATCAGAAAATCATGTGGTAAAAAACATTGGTGACACTTTCCATGGAGCTTCTATCATGTGGCCTACGTGACAATCAATGTCAAGCACACACCACTGTTAATTACAACTGTACTTGGTCATATACGTCCCCTCACACACCCCAGGTCATGATGGGCGAGGGAGAGGCAGGGAGAGAGAGAGATAAAGAGACAAAGAGGATAAAAAAAAGAGAGAGAGACAGGAAAACACAGAGACTGGCAGAGACAGAAACAGAGAGAGAGAGAGCCTTGGTTAGTTTATAGTCGTCCTGCTGTTCCCTGCAGTGGCGGTCATCACATGTGGTGTTGGCCTTCATGGCCATAGTGGGGAAGAAGTCCTGCATAGCATTGTAGCCCAGGTAGTGGCTGACCGTGCCAAACTTCAACAGGTACCTGTTAGAGGACCACAAACCACTGTAAGGATATATTCATAGGAAACTCTGCATGGGTCGTATTCATTAGGGATAACCGTAGCAAAACATTTCACAAAAAACAAAAAAAAAGTATTTCTTATTGGAGAAGTTCAGGTAGTCTCCCTGTTTTAGTCAGGTTTCTTCCGCTTGGTGCGGAACCCAGGGCTCAGATCAAACTAATGTAATTCAGATCTTACTTTAGGACATTTTGGACCAGGATTCCTGCCACCACGCCAATGGTGGTAGGTATGCTGGCAGCACACACCCCTGTCTTCACATCAATGTTGTTCACCACCACCAGGGGAGGAGTGCACTGGGACAAAGAGATTAGTACACTGCAAAGCACTGAAAACTCACCGACATCTTCTTAATCTCTATAGCAGTAACTTGTGTTTATATATATATATATATATATGGAGGCTGGTGGCAGGAGCTAGAGGAAGACGGGCTCAATGTAATGGCTGGAATGGAATTAAAGGAACGGAGTCAAACGTGGTTTACATATGTTTGATACTGTTCCATTTATTCCATTACAGCCATTACAGCCTATATAAGTTATATACAGTACAAGTAACAGAAAACAAAAACAAGTGTTTCTTATTGGACAAGTTCAGGTTGTGTCTCCCTACTTTAGTCAGTTTTCTTCAGTTTGGTGCCTAATGAACATGACCCAGGGATCAGCTCAGATCCAAACCAATGTTATTCAGAGAGAACAAGAAGAGAACATTTTGGAGCAGGATCCCTGCCACCACGCCCATGGTGGTCCTCTGTAGCTCAGCTGGTAGAGCACAGCGCTTGTAACGCCAAGGTAGTGGGTTCGATCCCCGGGACCACCCATACACAAAAATGTAGGGGGGATTTAAATATGAAACAATTATCATGGGTTGCTAATATGACTAGGATAATACCTTTGGATGCTAGACAATGAAAGAACAGGAGAAAGCATACAATGCCTTCGGAAAGTGTTCCGACCCCTTGACTTTTTCCACATTTTGTTACGTTACAGCCTTATTCTAAAATGGATTTACAAAAATAATCATCATCAATCAACACACAATACCCCATAATGACAAAGCGAAAACAGGCTGTTAGAATTTTTTTGCAAATGTAGAAAAAATAAAAAACAGAAATACTATATTTACATAAGTATTCAGACCCTTTGATATAAGACTAGAAATTGAGCTCAGGTGCATCCTGTTTCCATTGATCATCCTTGAGATGTTTCTACAACATGATTGGAGTCCACTTGTGGTAAATTAATTTGATTGGACATGATTTGGAAAGGCACACACCTGTCTATATAAGGTCCCACCTTTGACAGTGCATGTTGGAGCAAAAACCAAGCAATGAGGTCGAAGGAATTGTCCGTAGAGCTCTGTGACAGGATTGTGTCGAGGCACAGATCTGGGGAAGGGTACCAACACATTTCTGCAGCATTGAAGGTCCCCAAGAACACAGTGGCCTCCATCATTCCTAAATGGAAGAAGTTTGGAACCACCAAGACTCTTCCTAGAGCTGGCCACCCGGCCAAACTGAGCAATCGGGGGAGAAGGGCCTTGGTCAGGAAGGTGACCAAGAACCCGATGGTCACTCTGACAGAGCTCTGGAGTTCCTTTGTGGAGATGGGAGAACCTTCCAGAAGGACAGCCATCTCTGCAGCACTCCACCAATCAGGCCTTTATGGCAGAGTGACCAGACGGAAGCCACTCCTCAGTAAAAGGCACGACAGCCCACTTGGAGTTTGCCAAAAGGCAACTAAAGACTCTCAGACCATGAGAAACAAGATTCTCTGGTCTGATGAAATCAAGATTGAACTCTTTGACCTGAATGTCAAGCGTCACGTCTGTAGGAAATCTGGCACCATCCCTACGGTGAAGCATGGTGGTGGCAGCATCATGCTGTGGGGATGTTTTTCTGTGGTAGGGAGACTAGTCAGGATCGTGACAAAGATGAATGGAGCAAAGTACAGAGAGATTCTTGATGAAAACTTGCTCCAGAGCGCTCAGGTCCTCACACTGGGGCGAAGGCTCACCTTCCAACAGGACAATGACCCTAAGCACACAGCCAAGACAACGCAGGAGTGGCTTCGGGACAAGTGTATGAATGTCCTTGAGTGCCCAACCTGAGCTCGGACTTGAACCCGAATAAACATCTCTGGAGAGATCTGAAAATAGCTGTGCATCAACACTCCCCATCCAACCTGACAGAGCTTGAGAGGATCTGCAGAGAAGAATGGGAGAAACTCCACAAATACAGGTGTGCCAAGCTTGTAGAGTCATAACCAAGAAGACTCGAGGCTGTAATTGCTGCCAAAGGTGATTCAACAAAGTACTGAGTAAAGGGTCTAAATACCTCTGTAAATCTGATATTTCCTTCTGTTTTTTTTATTTAATAAATTAGCAAACATTTCTAGAAACCTTTTTTTGCAATGTTATTATGGGGTATTGTGTGTAGATTGATTAGTAAAAACCCCAATGTAATACATTTTAGAATAAGTCTGTAACCTAACAAAATATTTTCCGAAAGCACTGTATGAGTACGTCTTCATAAGAATAATTGCCTCCACGTTTCTATGGTGGGATTTTCGATATAGGCTACTTTAAAGCAAGGTAAGACATGCCTCATAATATGAAGTAAAACGTCCAGGTTTCAAACAATTAAGGAATTCGAAATTAAATGTTAAGTTCAGTGCCTTCAGAAAGTATTCACACCCCTTTACTTTTTCGACTAAATTCAAAATTGATTAAATTGTCATTTTTTTCATTGGCCTACACACAATACCCCATTAAGTGGAATTATGTTTTTCATCTCTGTACCACACATACAATTATCTGTAAAGTCCCTCAGTCAAGCAGTGAATTTCAAACACAGATTCAACCACAAAGACCAGGGAGATTTTCCAATGCCTCGCAAAGACGGACACCTATTGGTAGATGGGTAAAAAAAAAAAGCAGACGTTGAATATCCCTGTGAGCATAGTGAAGTTATTAATTACACTTTGTATGGTGTATCAAGTCACACCCAGTCACTGCAAAGATACAGGCGTCCTTCCTAACTCAGTTGCCGGAGAGGAAGGAAACCGCTCAGGGATTTCACCATAAGGCCAATGGTGACTTTAAAACAGTTACATATTTTATGGCTGTGATAGGAGAAAACTGAGGATGGATAAACAAGATTGTAGTTACTCTACTATACTAACCTAATTGACAGAGTTAAAAGAAGGAAGCCTATACAGTATACAACTATTCCATAACATTCATCCGGTTTGCAACAAGGCACTAAAGTAATACTGCAAAAATGTGGTAAAGCAATTCATGTAAATATATATGCATATACAGTGGGGAAAAAAAGTTTTTAGTCAGCCACCAATTGTGCAAGTTCTCCCACTTAAAAAGATGAGAGAGGCCTGTAATTTTCATCATAGGTACACGTCAACTATGACAGACAAAATGAGAAAAAAAAATCCAGAAAATCACATTGTAGGATTTTTTATGAATTTATTTGCAAATTATGGTGGAAAATAAGTATTTGGTCACCTACAAACAAGCAAGATTTCTGGCTCTCACAGACCTGTAACTTCTTCTTTAAGAGGCTCCTCTGTCCTCCACTCGTTACCTGTATTAATGGCACCTGTTTGAACTTGTTATCAGTATAAAATACACCTGTCCACAACCTCAAACAGTCACACTCCAAACTCCACTATGGTCAATACCAAAGAGCTGTCAAAGGACACCAGAAACAAAATTGTAGACCTGCACCAGGCTGGGAAGACTGAATCTGCAATAGGTAAGCAGCTTGGTTTGAAGAAATCAACTGTGGGAGCAATTATTAGGAAATGGAAGACATACAAGACCACTGATAATCTCCCTCGATCTGGGGCTCCACGCAAGATCTCACCCCGTGGGGTCAAAATGATCACAAGAACGGTGAGCAAAAATCCCAGAACCACACGGGGGACCTAGTGAATGACCTGCAGAGAGCTGGGACCAAAGTAACAAAGCCTACCATCAGTAACACACTACTCCGCCAGGGACTCAAATCCTGCATTGCCAGACGTGTCCCCCTGCTTAAGCCAGTACATGTCCAGGCCCGTCTGAAGTTTGCTAGAGTGCATTTGGATGATCCAGAAGAGGATTGGGAGAATGTCATATGGTCAGATGAAACCAAAATATAACTTTTTGGTAAAAACTCAACTCATCGTGTTTGGAGGACAAAGAATGCTGAGTTGCATCCAAAGAACACCATACCTACTGTGAACCATGGGGGTGGAAACTTCATGCTTTGGGGCTGTTTTTCTGCAAAGGGACCAGGACGACTGATCCGTGTAAAGGAAAGAATGAATGGGGCCATGTATCGTGAGATTTTGAGTGAAAACCTCCTTCCATCAGCAAGGGCATTGAAGATGAAACGTGGCTGGGTCTTTTAGCATGACAATGATCCCAAACACACCTCCCGGGCAACGAAGGAGTGGCTTCGTAAGAAGCATTTCAAGGTCCTGGAGTGACCTAGCCAGTCTCCAGATCTCAACCCCATAGAAAATCTTTGGAGGGAGTTGAAAGTCCGTGTTGCCCAGCGACAGCCCCAAAACATCACTGCTATAGAGGAGATCTGCATGGAGGAATGGGCCAAAATACCATCAACAGTGTGTTGAAAACCTTGTGAAGACTTACAGAAAACGTTTGACCTGTGTCATTGCCAACAAAGGGTATATAACAAAGTATTGAGAAACTTTTGTTATTGACCAAATACTTATTTTCCACCATCATTTGCAAATTAATTCATTAAAAATCCTACAATGTGATTTTCTGGAATTTTTTTCTCATTTTGTCTGTCATAGTTGACGTGTACCTATGATGAAAATTACAGGACTCTCTCATCTTTTTAAGTGGGAGAACTTGCACAATTGGTGGCTGACTAAATACTTTTTTCCCCACTGTATATACACACACACGTATATATAGTAGGTACACCACCCCATTCACGAAAATGGTTCTCTCTTACAGACAGTTTGTCAGGTGGCTGTGGCTTGCTTTATAAAGCAGGCAGACACGCATCGAGGCACTCAGTTATTGTTCAATTGAACGTTAGCATGGGCAAAACGAGTGACCTAAGGCCTGATTGTCGGTGCCAGTCATGCCGGTTCCAGTACTTCAGAAACATCCGGACTCCTGGGCTTTTCACGCATGCCAGTGTCTAGAGTTTACCGAGAATGCTTTGACAAACAAAAAACATTCAGTCAGTGGCAGTCCTGTGGGCGAAAACAGCTCGTTGATGGGAGAGGTCGAAGGACAATTGCAAAAATCGTTCAAGCTAGCAGGAGGGCCAAAAACAGGAAAATAATGGAGCAGTACTACAGTGGTGTGCAGAACGGCATCTCGTAACACAAAACCTGTCGGTCCTTGTCACGGATGGGCAATTGCAGCAGATGACCACACTGGGTTCCACTCCTATCAGCTAAAAACAAGAAGAAGCGGCTCTAGTGGGAACACGATCACCAACACAGGACAATTGAGGAGTGGAAAAACATTGTCCCTTGAGACCAATTGAGCAACATTTGAATGCTACACCTTGTAGAATCCATGCCCCGAAGAATTCAGGCTGTTCTGGAGGCAAAGGGGGGTCCGACCCGGTACTAGATTTGTGTACCTAATAACCTGGCCACTGAGTGTATATTTGTGGGTTTTATTTATTTTATTGAAATGATGGTAAAGGAGAGGGAAAAGAAGACATGAACAGTAGGACAGGTTGCCAGAGAAGGGCAGTTGGTCGGATTCGAACTGATGCAGGCTCTAGTAGACTAGGCCATACATGTGTGCCAGGGTCTGCGGCACTAACCACACAGGCCACCAAATCTTGTGTTACGAGTCTACAGACATTTATTTAGAATAAATAGAAAACAACTGCTTATAGCGTAAGTGTGTGTGTTGTGACATACTGTGAAGCAGGCGGTCTCCAATTGGTATGATGAGCTGGATGTGTCCAGGCACTGCATTCTCTCTCACACCTGACTCCATCCAGATCTGACCCAGCTCGTTACACGCCTAGGAGCAAAAAGACAACCCAACATACATCATCTGATCTTCACCAATTCAATCATTAATGTTTTACAGTTAAGCAAAAAGTGATATGTTAGTACTGAAGTCAGAGATTATTTTAAGTGCATTTCACATGGGTCACAAGTACACACATCATTAAAAGGGAATAAAAGAATGTGGGAAAATGGGGAAAAAGGAATATGGATTACTGACTGTGTTGAGGCCAGTACTGACAGTTCTGCTCTTAGAGCAGCAGAAGACCAAGTTGACTCAAACTGCTCTTAGAGCAGCAAAATCTAGTTGACAGATAATTTATTAAATACTAAATGTGATGCAAGCTAAAGTTAGCTAGCTAAACTGTGTTTTAGTAAAACACATTTTAGCCAACTAACTTAAGTTTAAACTTGAAATAGTTGTAAAGTTTAATAGTTTATCCCCTCTTCATGTTTTTCTATAGTATGCAGCTCTTTAGGGGATATACAGCACTTTATTGTTTAGCGCTGATTCACCTTAACATCTTCAATCCACTTCAAGTTGTGGTTTTACGCTTCAACATGTCAGGGATTAGGCCTCATCTCACACATTAATAAGCCGCTCAATAGTTTGTTAAGTTATGCAACAGCCATACCAGAAATGGACTATGTTATCAGTGAGAAATGTACAATGTTGAGGAAAGCTCAGATAAATTGAAGAAATTGTCTGATTTAGTATGGAAGAGCTGGAAATGTATCTTGAATTCAACACAAATATCCAAGTGATTAAACCAATCTGTCAATTTGAGATTAAAAAGGTGCCCAGTGGAGCTAGATAGTCACAGTGTGAAAAACAGGGAAGACTTGTTCTTCTTTTTCAAGTGAAAATTTGCTTTGTTTTATCTCAACGAGGCCTCTTCAGCAGAAGTGTGTGTTGTTATTATGTAATCTAAAGTCCCCATCTGTGTGTGTGTGTGCATGCATCTCTGTCTGTGTGTCTGTAAAAGCCTATATGACATGTTCTCCTGTTTGAGGTTGATATTAATACCCCATCTGTTAACCAAATATAATTTTGTCTTCTGTATGTACCTTAGAATGATCCATCCAATATGGACGCCTGCACCTGGGGGGCCACAAGGGACCCTGCAGACTTTAACTCCCCATTTGTCTACTGTTGATCAGACACCCTCCAGGTCCACTCACTCCTCTTCACCGGTGAATCATAATGGATCCTTTCATATCCACGTGTCCGCCCAGCCCCTCTCATAATGACCATATGAGATGGATGGAGCTGCAGTTGCACTATACTGGGGATGGATCAGTGGAGAGTGCTTCCATGTCCATTTAACATCATTTAAAGGCTCATAGATGTGATGGCTTCTCCCTGGAGAGTCCCAGTGGAGGCTGTATTGGATTTTAGTGGTGATATAAGGCTGTAAGGCACAGACATAGAAGATATCTTAAGGTTTGGGGAGCTCATTTGTTTTCTTTTTATACACTTCCCACTGGGCACACACAGGTTGAATCAATGTTGTTTCCACGTCATTTCAATTAAATTACGTTGAACCAATGTGGAATAGATGTTGAATTGACGTCTGTGCCAAGTTGGTAGGGCGTATAGAGTTCATTCCTGTGTTTGTAGCAGATGGCTAGCTTGTTGATGGCTTATTGTCAAATATGCCTGACTTGTTCACCTTTGTTACAGGTAGAATTGTACAGTTAACTGGTGAGAAAACAGCCCAAACCCTCCTGAAAATGATTTAGTTAAAAGTCCTTAATGGAGAGAATGTTGCTATTGCACATAACAGCCATACTAGAACCCCATGACTACAATCCTTTTTAGTTCTATGGTAATGGGGTCGGAGCTGATAAGAAAATGCAACAAGGTGCAGACAAAATAATTGTAACTTGAGAAAGTTGCACAATTTAGGCTATATTACAGTAATCCCAAACACTGTATTTATTGCATGACTGAACCAACAATTCAGTTTCGGCACACACACACACACACACACACACACACACACACACACACACACACACACACACACCACACACACACACACACACAGACGGACAATTTATGATAATAAACACATGAAGCTATTGGAGGTTATTGTATTCCAACATGCAGGCAGGATTTTGCATCCAATGGCATTACAACACACATTAACAAATCCAGGACAGAACACCATGTATTCTTTCCATTCCATTGCTTCCAAAATGCTGTCCTATAATAGCCACCTGTGGCAACAGTAGTTTGAGTTCCACCGCCATGCTCGGAGCTCGTGCACAGCGATGGTGCCGAACAACAAAGCCCATCTCCAGTCTCGTCAGGGTACAGTAATGAACACAGCCCCGGATCTGTTTGCCTTTGTGCCGCTCCCTGTTGCTCCATTTAAATTGTCAACATCACTGCTCAAATGTGGCATTTGAAGCGAATGATTTCTTTGAACTTCTATCTGTTCAACAAGGGAGTCTTTGTTCGACGCCCACCAGGGGAGTTGTGAGATAGGCACATGACAGAGTCCCCAAACGTCGGGATTCAAAGCAGCACTTTGATGGCTCAAACACTCTACCATTACCTTTCTCCTCTAGGAAGACCATAGGAGACATATTTAACATAGAGACACCAAGGCTTCTAGGCCCATATGGAGTGGAGTGGCTAGGCAGGGCTCCTAGGAGGTGCTGCATGTTATAATTTTTTTTGTATGTACTGGAAATTGTACAGTTTGTCCATTGCTCACTGAATGGGGCAACTCAGAATGCTTAGAACTCTGGAGATTCATCGGACAGGCCTGAACGTTCCACAGCGGGTCTTTAGGAAGGAAGGTTCTCTCATAAAAATAGGACGCCTCGGCAGAGAAAACTGGGATTTGGGTGAATAAAAGTTGCAACCCAGAATTTGATTTAGTTGCGTGTTGTTGTGGTTAATTTTTGTGCACACACATAGTTTACTTGGCCTGACAGCAAGATTTGGTTTTGGTCTGCCACAAGTGTTAGCCCACTGAGTTAAAGCACACAGGAACTAAGGCAAATCTTTAGGTCTCAGGCAAGATTATTTAATGGGTCGTTCCACGTAATGGGTGCCTTTTATATTTGAAGTAGAAATTATGCACCAATATTGCATTTTAAAATCCTGTTATATTAAATGAAGTGCACTTTAATATAGACCACATGGAGAATTCAATAAATCCGATTTTATATAAAGTACGAATATTCTGCATTTTGAAATGTCCCTTCGTCAACCCTGTGTCACTTCTAGGAAGATTTCAACCAACTTAATCCAAAGATTCTCCAAGTTTCACCATCAGGCCTAGTTATTTTGCTGCTTTGACAAAGTCATTTCTGAAGATGATTATTTACATTCATGTGATTAGTGATGCATTTACAGTACGTCTGTCCCTCAACCATGTAATAAAAACCATTTACCCCTTTAATATAATGGACCATTCCACCAAGTTAAATGATTCACAGCAGGTGACATCGTTTGGATCCTCTGAACAGCATAGTAAGAAAGGAAAACTTGAATTTGATATGACTTTCATTATGTGTGGAACATACAATGTATACAGTATAATTCCTTATTTCATGAAAACCATGTGGTCCCATGCTCTTCACCACATGAGGAGTAATGGCCAATCTTCACCTAAAACCTCAACCCTGTTATCTTCAAACCTGTTAGAGGCCCAGTGGTAACTGTATAGGTTTAATATTATATGTGAGTTTATTTGTACAAGGGATACTTGATCAATGAGAAAAGGTTGGATTTCTCTCAAACATGCTTTTAAATAATAGTTAGGCACTTACATGTGCATGTAACAGGGTTGACAGACAGTGTAGTACGCGTTCAGATAAAATGCTCTTAGTTCATAGGATTTTGAGGCCTGATATGGGGAAATTTGTTTTTCAGTAGGCTAAACATATCCTCCATGCAATTAAATGTTGAAGGAATAGATGTTTTAAAGATAATTTCTTAAGAGTTTGCATTTCCAAAATGCATGTGGAATGACCCTAATATTGAATGAAAACGAAATGATAACTTTGGGTACAGTGCCTAAACTAGTGCCTAAGTATTCACCACATTTATCATTACAATAAAATATGAGAAAAGTTCAAGGGGTGAATACATATAGGCACTGTATGCGATTCCATAATAGACCGTTGTTGACACTTTCATCAGTGGCTAAGTGCAGTTCTCCATCTGAATCAAAAGCACTGGGGCTTTTTCATGTCAAGGTTAATTCAAACGCTCTGTGATGATGCTGATACTTTGAAAACTACAAATGCATTTTTAAACAAATGCATTCTTTTAAATGCTATACATTTCGGCTATGCATTTACATTCTATGCTCTCACCATTCAGTGTGATACTATCACCACTCTGTTTTCCACCATGCTGTGAGACTGAAAGACATGCCTGTGCCTGACTGTAGAAACAACATGTGGTTATGGCAGGCATGACTTGTGTCTTTTCTACAAACGTTCCCTCCAACACACATCTCTCTCTTTTTATCTCTCTCCTGGCCCCGATAGGCATATCACATACACCTCTCTCTTTCCCCTGATAGCTGTTCAGTCACCCTTCTCTCTTTCTTTCTCTCTCTTTCTCTCCTCGATAGCATCACAGTCCCTCTCTCTCTTTGTCTCCCTCCCTCTCTCTGTCTCGCTCTCTCCCACCCCATCTCCATCTCTTCAACCTGGTTAGCATTTCAGACACACTCAGTATTCATGTCAGCAGAGGAGCTGTCAGCAGCATTTACACACATTACCAGGGTGAAAAAAGGTAGGTTGAGGTACAATGATGTGCAGTGGTTCATGACAGTTGGTATCAAGATGCTGTCAGAATCCAAACAGTTGCCCCTTTGTGATAGTCCCTCAGAGATATGGGCTTGGTCTCTAAGGCAGGCTGAATTGTCAATGGATTCAATGAGTCATTGAGTTAAATGGCGGGCCGACTCAGAGGAAATATAGTGCAACGTTTTCTGTACAGTCAATGTTTAAACTTGTCTCTGCTCACTGGAGTGAGGTGTTGAACAGTGTTGTAGCTGAAACTGTAATATGATATCTAGCGGCGTGTATTCATGGATGCTAAGGAAAGCCAGGCTTCCCCAAAAGATTGACCAAGAAAAAAATTAAATAAACATAAAATAATGTATCTTTCGTCTCTATGTTTCATAATTTTCCTTCAATTTGAAAGAGGCTGAATGTATCTCACAGGAGAAAGCATCCGAGCGAGCAAAACAGCGCCCCTCTGTCTCTCTACATGTAGGCCATCTATCTGATGCTGTCTGGTCCAAACGAGTATGACATTGTTGCAGCCCGTAGTATTGAAGGCAAGGGAAGCCAGCGAGCATCTGGCCTCCCTTGATAAAAAAACTTTTTAAAAAATGAAAGTAAACTGAGCTCAACTGTGAATGGTCCTGGCACACCAAAAAAAAGTGTCAAGGGAAGCCAGCTTGGATTTGGCATTACTCCTATCAAATCCCATTAAGAGCATACGTCATCGACAGAAAAACTTTAATTGTTGCATCTCCTTGTGTTGTTGTCCTCCGGTGGCTAGCTAGCTAAAATTGGCCCATTTCCTAAATTAGCCATGGATGGAAATAGGGTTTGGACTTCTGGTTTTACTTAAATCTCCGTACTGGCCAATGATTATAATGGCAATTCTGATCCAACCATTAATTCATACATTGCTGTGGCCCTGGCCTGAGAAGATAGAAGTTCAATATGTAGCTATCAATATGTAGTTAGATGTAGAAGGCTAATGTAAACTAGCTAACGTTACCCATGAATGGAAGTTAGGCTAGCGAGCATTTTAGCCAGTCTAGAACAACAAAAAATAAAAGCGTGTACTGTATGACAGAGCGATGACAGAGACCATTTCGTCAACATGAAAGAGAGGAGGATGGGATTGGCGTTTCTCTACAAGTAGGGTGAGTCAACATGTTTTTCTACTTGCATGAACGCGCACACACACACACGCACACAGAAATCAGAACCATGGACAGCCACATCATATTTAGGGGGGCGCTTGGCTTCCCCAGTGATTTTACCCACGCACCGCTACTGATGATATCCACATTAATCAAGGTGCTAAATTAACATTTCCTTCTCAAACCAATGACAACTCCTGTGATTCATATGATGTTAATAATTCAGTAAGCCTAACTGATATATTCATGACCCCAAGGACCTACTGATGTGGTAATTGATTATGTCCCAAGTGATTTGATCAGCTTAGTATGGCATGTTGACTCAGTTACAAATTTATGAGGTCTAAGATTATTTTGTGAATTGAATGACTATACACCTACTGTATAGGAAATCTAAATCCTATCCTGATAAAGGCATTAAATGTCCAGTGCACTATATTTCCAAACTATTATATTTTAGTCATTTAGCAGACGCTCTTATCCAGAGCGACTTACAGCAGCAAGTAGGGTTAAGTGCCTTGCTCAAGGGCACATCAACAGATTTTTCACCTAGTCAGCTCAGGGATTCGAATCAGCGACCTTTCGGTTACTAGCCCAATGTGCTTAACCGCTAGGCTACCTGCCGCCCCACTATGAGGTTGGAATAATACTGTGAAATTGTGGAAATTATGATAATGCCCCTTTAGTGTAAGAGCTGTTTGAAAAGACCGCCTGACGTTTTAGTCTGTTTTGGTGGGATGGCGCTTTGGCCTGCCTGGTGACATCACCAGGTGGTGAATTAGTTAATAGACCAATAAGAAAGAGAGTTCCAAACCTCTCTGCCAATAACAGCTAGAAATTATTTGATATGGAGGTAGAAACGGCTGCATTTTCACAGTATTATTCCAACTTCATAGTGTGGGAATACAGTATATAATACTCAGGGAAATCATGTTTTTGGCTGCACTAGGCCTTTAAATATAATGTCAAAATGTATCTTTCAGCCTAAATAGACATACCCAAAATTAATTATTTATCATGTGAGGGCCATAAACAATACAGAGTAATTGTGATACCGCCAGAAATATTAAAATCTCCCTTTTCTGCAACAAATTGTCATAAATTGCTGAGGTGTATAAAAAATGTACGCACTCACTAATTGTGAGTCACTCTGGATAAGAGCGTCTGCTAAATGACTAAAATGTCAAATGTAATGTAAAATGTGTAGTCACTTTTGAGGACACAAGCTCAAGTACACAGTACAAATATGATACAAATATGAAGAAAAAAATTCCCTATTCAACAATAGCAGGAAAATTGGGATCAAAATGATTGAAAAGCTTTCTAAATATATGAACAATCAAATGATAAAAAACTTACTGTAATATTTTACCTTTCTTATAACAA